CGTGTTGTCATGTTGCCGTGTTGTCATGTTGCCGTGTTGTCATGTTGCTGTAGTGCCATGTTGCCGTGGTGCCATGTTGCCGTGTTGTCATGTTGCCGTGTTGTCATGTTGCCGTGGTGCCATGTTGCTGTAGTGCCATGTTGCCGTAGTGCCATGTTGCGTGGTGCCATGTTGCCGTGTTGTCATGTTGCCGTGTTGTCATGTTGCCGTGGTGCCATGTTGCCGTGGTGCCATGTTGCCGTGTTGTCATGTTGTCATGTTGCCGTGTTGTTGTCATGTTGCCGTGTTGTCATGTTGCCGTGATGCCATGTTGCGTGTTGTCATGTTGCCGTGTTGTCTTTTGCCTGGTGTCATGTTGTCGTGGTGCCGTGGTGCCATGTTGCCGTGTTGTCATGTTGTCATGTTTGCCGTGTTGTCATGTTGCCGTGTTGTCATGTTGTCGTGGTACCATGTTGTCGTGGTGCCATGTTGCCGGTCGCCTCATTCCCATCCATTCTCAATTCCCGCCTCGGCGTATTCCCGATCTGGCACATTCCCATCTATAATACTCCTGTGGAATATATATATGTGTCTGGTTGAGAGGAGGGTAGGGAGAATGGGAGGAGAGGGAGAAGGAGGAGAGGGAGGTAGGGGAGAATCGGAATGGTCAGGAAGAGTAGGGAGCAGTCGGGATGGTCGGGAGGTAGGGGGAGGTCGGGAAGGGGGAGAGGGAGTATCACTACTGAACGCTGTCGGCTTCCCTGTGGATGTGACCCTGTATGTTTCTTTGCTCATGTTTTTGGGGCTGTGTGTGTGTGTGTGTGTGTGTGTGTGTGTGTGTGTGTGTGTGTGGGTGCCTGAGAGAGAGAGATTATAAGCTTCGTGAGGGTCAGCTGCTGGTCAGAAAGTCGTCCATTATTTTATACTGTAGTCGTGTATGGTCGTCCAAGGTCGTATTTCTCAAAGACCTTAAAGACTCGTACGTTCATTTTTTTTTTCTATTGAAGTATTGACCTATATGAACACTTGATTTCACTGACTGACTTGACTGATAGAATCTCACCCTCGCTCCCAGCCCTTTCACGTCACTGGCTCCTCGTTGCACCCCGCCCTCCGCCCAGCTCTCTCTCTCTCTCTCTCTCTCTCTCATGAGTTTTGAATAACCATACTTCTAAAATTCATAAGATATAAAAAAACATCAATAACACCTTTATATCATTATCTAAGTTATTGCAATATCTCAATAACCTCCCTACTGAGTTATTTACGTTTATTATTTACCATGAATATTATTTAAGTTATCCCTCTATTCTCCCCCATATCCCGTTTTCTGTGCTTAGTGGGGGAGACTATGGCAGACAAGAACCAACCTATCACTTGTTTGGCGTAATGTAAGGCACATATCCCGCCAATACCTCCAGTTTGGCCTTTTTTTTTAATAGCTGGTGAATGAAAAAGTAGCCATTTCTAACTCATACCTGGAGATTGGTGAAACGGGGATGAATCAAGGCAAGATACATACATACATACATACATACATACATACATACATACATACATACATACATACATACAGACAGTTGTATATCATTAGTATCGCCGCTGTGCTCCGCCTCCATTAACGACATAATAAAGACGTGTTTTGATGTGACAGAAAACAAGGGCAGATAAAAAGAGTGAGAGTGGTAGAGTCATTAGTGGTGAGAACTTCTCTCTCTCTCTCTCTCTCTCTCTCTCTCTCTCTCTCTTATCCTTTCCCCTCACTCCCCTCTTAGTAATATTTCCTACCTACCACACCCATCTACCACACCCACCTACCACACCCATCTACCACCAGCCCCTCCAACCACCACCATCCCTTCCTTCACAACCACACTTTCCTCTCTCCCCACTCTACACCTAACCCCCCTCCCTCCCCTCCATCTCCCTTTCACCACTCCACCAACCTCCCCACCCCTACCTCTTCCTCCCCCACAACAGTACACAGGCTGGGTGTAGTGATGTGTATGTAGATTGTGGTGGTAGTGTAGTGTAGTGTAGTGTCGACCCATACCTAAAACAACACCACATACTGTACACGACAATATCCCAGCCACAGCTTCCTCCCTCTCTCCCTCCCTATCTCCCTCCCTCCCTCCCTCCCCTCCCCTCCCCCTACCTCCCTCCCTCCCCTCCCTCCCTCCTCCCTCCCTCCCCTCCCTCCCTCATTCTCATACAGTACAGTGTTGTTGTAATATTCCCTGTAATCTCTTTTTGTATTGGATGTCGTTTGACGCAGTGGATAGTGTAGTGAATAGTGTGGGGAATAGTGGAGGGAATATGGGTAGGAATAGTGTAGTGGGATAGTGGGTAGGGGAATAGTGTAGTGGGAATAGTGGAGTGAATAGTGTAGTGGGAATAGTGTGGTGGAATAGTGGGTGGGAATAGGGTGGGAATAGTGTGAGTGGGAATAGTGTGAGTGGGAATAGTGGAGTGGGAATAGTGGAGTGGGAATAGTGTATGGAATAGTGGAGTGAATAGTAGTGGGAATAGTGTAGTGGGAATAGTGGGTGGGAATAGTGTGTGGGAATAGTGGAGTGGGAATAGTGTAGTGGGAATAGTGGGTGGGAATATGTAAACAGAGAGGGAAGCTTCATACATTATACAATACACACATATACATAATCAAGTACAAATGTAATATTCTGTATAGTGGTGCCTGTGACAGTGTGTGTGTGTGTGTGTGTGTGTGTGTGTGTGTGTGTGTGTGTGTGTTTTTAGCCATTGATAGTTAGTAGTCTATTGTATGGTGTATATGATGACGACACACACACCTCTCTCTCTCTCTCTCAGTAGACGAACAACAACAACAACCACCACCACCACCCCCCAATAATCTCCAACCAGTTATATATCATGTAGAAAATCACAACTTCTTCTCCAGAGTATTAGAGAGTTATAGAGCCCACTATCATTATATTAATTATAGCGGCTGGCAGGAAACGCTTGGAGATGTTTTAGTACAATACAAAAAACGCAGCTTGAGTTCATTACCCCTTTCACGCGTGTTGGTATTGTTGGATATATAAGCTTAGAGGCTGTTTTGGGTCTTTTGGGGCTGTTTTGGGGTTGTTTTAAGCTGTTTTTGGGGCTGTTTTAAGCTGTTTTGGGGTTATTTTAAGCTGTTTTGGGGCTGTTTTGGATTATTATTCTTTTACTGATTTCCTCCTCTCTCATCTCTCACCTCTCTCCTCCTCTTTCTCTCTTTTTTCTCTCCTCCTTCTCTCATCTTCTTTTCTCCTCTCCTTCCCTCCTTCCCCTCCTCCTCTCCTTCCTCCTCCTCTCCTTCCCTCCTCCTCTCCTTCCCCTCCTCCTCTCCTTCCCCTCCTCTTCTCCTCCTCCTCCTCCTTCCCTCCTCCTCTTCTCCTCCTCCTTCCTCTCCTCCTCTCCTTCCCTCTCTTCTCCTCCTCCTCCTCCTTCCCTCCTCCTCTTCTCCTCCTCCTTCCTCTCCTCCTCCTTCCTCCTCTTCTCCTCCTCCTCCTCCTTCCCCTCCTCCTCAGGGATCGTCCTGGCCCTGACCTGGATCACAACTTTGCCTCACTTTACTGTATTAGGGTAGAAAGTGACCGTCTGTGTTCACCACCACCAGACGCCCCTCACTACCCTTCACGGCGGTGGCTCTAACTTAACCTGGGAGTCCCTTGTTCACCCTGGGAGTCCCTTGTTTACCCTAAGTCCCTTATTCACCCTGGGAGTCCCTTGTTCTGGGTCCTTGTTCACCCTGGGAGTCCCTTGTTCCCTGGTGTCCTTCACCCTGGGTGCTTGTCACCTGGGGTCCCTTATTCACCCTAGGGTCCCTTGTTCACCCTGGAAGTCCTTGTTCACCCTAGAGGCCCCTTTTGTTCACCTGGGGAGTCCTTGTTCACCCTGGAGTCCTTGTTAACCCTGGTGTCCCTTGTTCACCCTGGGTGTCCCTTGTTCACCCTGGGAGTCCCTTGTTCGCCTTGAAGGTCGCTTGTTTACCCTGGGGTCCCTTGTTCACCCTTAGAGTCTCTTGTGATCTCGTTTCCGTCGGGCTGGCCCATCCCTTAGGGGAGGTCTTCGTCCATCTAAGGTACTTGCTCAACCTCCTTCAAGGCCGACCTTATTGGGTAGGAGAGACGAGCCTCCTCGATCTCCCTCCCCTCCCTCCCCTCCCCCCCTCCCTCCTCCTCCCTCCCCACACCCCTCTCTCGCTCCTCAGGTAGACTCCGGGTAAAGTTTGCCCTAAGTAGACAGGTGTGGTTTCGTCTAAGAGCCTCTAGACTCCTCGTGGGCTCCTTGGCCCATCAAGTTCCTCCTCTTCTCCTTCAAGTGATTCCTCACACAGTCACTTGTTCCCTGTGTTATTACTTACATTTACCTCTTCGTTTTTTCCTTCTTGGGTGAAACATATATGTACGTTTATCTACATACATACATACATACATACATACATACATACATACATGAGAACATAAGAATGGAGGAAACTGCAGCGGGCCTATTGGCCCATACTGGGCAGTCCGTTTTACACCCAACCCCTATTGCTCATATATCCATCCAACCTATGTTTGAAGCTGTCCAGCGTATTCGAGTTAATGATGATATTATCATACATATATACACTTTCAACCCAAACAGATATATTCAGACACATGTATATCTCTCTCTCTCTCTCTCTCTCTCTCTCTCTTTTTTTTTTTTTTTCTCCACCAGTAACAAACAGATGGTTAATTGAGATGTTCCTGAGTCAACTTGCGATTCAGTACACCCATGGTTAAGTCTGCCCTCATGCCCAGCCCTCTGCCCTTATCTCATGCCCAGCCCTCTGCCCCTTATCTCATACCTGCCCTTTCCTGCCCAGCCCTCTGCCCATCTCATGCCCAGCCCTCTGCCCTTATCTCACCTCAGCCCTCTGCCTTATCTCATGCCCAGCCCTCTGCCCTTATCTCTGCCATCTGCCCTTATCTCATACTCAGCCCTCTGCCCTTATCTCACTACTCAGCCCTCTGCCTTATCTCATGCCCAGCCCTCTGCTCCCTTATCTCATGCCCAGCCCTCTGCCCTTATCTCATGCCCAGCCCTCTGCCCTTATCTCCTCAGCCCTCTCCCTTGCTCATGCAGCCTCTGCCTTATCTCTACCCAGCCCTCTGCCCCTTATCTCCATGCCCAGCCCTCTGCCCTTATCTCATGCCCAGCCCTGCCCTTATCTCACTCCCAGCCCTCTGCCCTTATCTCATACTCAGCCCTCTGCCCTTATCTCATGCCCAGCCCTCTGCCCTTATCTCATACCCAGCCTCTGCCCCTATCTCATACTCAGCCCTCGTCTCATGCCCAGCCCTCTGCCCCTTATCTCACCTCAGCCTCTGCCCTTATCTCATGCCCAGCCTCTGCCCTTATCTCATGCTCCAGCCCCTGCCCTTACTCTCACCCAGCCTCTGCCCTTATCTCATACTCCAGCCCTCTGCCCTTATCTCATGCCCAGCCCTCTGCCCCTTATCATACAGCCCTCTGCCCTTATCTCCATACTCAGCCCTCTGCCTTATCTCATACTCAGCCCTCTGCCCTTATCTCATGCCCAGCCCTCTGCCCTTATCTCATGCCCAGCCCTCTGCCCTTATCTCATCTCCAGCCCTCTGCCCTTATCTCATACTCAGCCCTCTGCCCCATCAATGCAGCCTGCCTTATCTCATGCCCAGCCCTCTGCCCTTATGTCATACTCAGCCTCTGCCCTTCTCTCATACTCCAGCCCTCTGCCTTATCTCATGCCCAGCCCTCTGCCTTATCTCATGCCCAGCCTCTCCCTCTCTCTACTCAGCCTCTGCCCCTTATCTCATGCCCAGCCCTCTGCCTTATCTATCACCTAGCCCTCTGGCCTTATCTCATGCCCAGCCCTGCCCTTATCTCATACTCAGCCCTCTGCCCTTATCTCATACTCAGCCCTCTGCCCTTATCTTATGCCCAGCCCTCTGCCCTTATCTCATACTCAGCCCTCTGCCATCTAATGCCCAGCCATCTTGCCTCTCATGCTCAGTCCCCCTTGCCTTATCTCATACTCAGCCCTCTGCCCTTTCTCTGCCCAGCCCTCTGCCCTTATCTCATAGCCTCTGCCCTTATCTCTTGCCAGCCCTCTGCCCTTATCTCATTGCCAGCCCTCTGCCCTTATCTCATACTCAGTCCCTGCAGGCCTCTGTCATGCCCTGATTCAAACATTGTTCTATCCTAAGTGGGGCATTGTTCACCTCCAGTGTTCTGATTTGTCCTTCGTTCATTCCGGTTCACTATTTGTTCATTCTGTTCACCTCTTACTCAACCATTGTTCACTCTGTTCACTTCAACTCCTTTTCACTCCATATTCACCTCCTCTTTTGGCCTGTTTAAACCCTTATTCACCCTTGTTCATCCCTATTCACCCACCTGCTTACCCTTGTTCCACCCTGTTCACCCGCTGTTCACCCGCTGTTCTGGCCCAGATCACCAGCACAGTCCGTGGTCATGCACTAAATCTCCTCACCAGACTTATGAGTTACCCTTATGTACAATTGGCACCGTGGCACTAGACAAAAAGTGCCATTATCTAGGTAATGGAGAGAGAGGTGGGTTAGTGTGCCTGAGAGAGAGTGGAGGTGTGGTGTTAATCACAGGTCACGGGTCTGGGAAGATGTGGGACGAGGGGTGTGTGGTGGCTCCTGTCTGCCGGTCACTCTTCTCCTGCCTCCTCCTCCTCCTCCTCCTCCTCCTCCTCCTCCTCCTCCTCCTCCTCCTCCTCCTCCTCCCTCCTCCTCCTCCTCCTCTTCCTCCTCCTCTTCTTCCTTAGTTTGAGTACAAATGTGTGTGTGCAGTGCTTGATTCGTCCTCTCACACACACACACACACACACACACACACACACACACAAACATAAGCCAGTTTGTTTTCTCTGTTTTAAAACAATTTAATTGTTTACTCCAGCAGGAAACTTGGGTGGTGGTGTGTGTGTGTGTTGTGTGTGTGTGTGTTTGTGTGTGTGTGTGTGTGTGTGTGTGTGTTTGGTTAGATTAGGGTGTGTGTGTGTGTGTGTGTGTGTGTGTGTGTGTGTGTGTGTCGAAATGATTCCGCCGATTTTAATCAGATTCTTAAAACATGGTTGGGTTTAGCTAAGGAAGGACCAACCCGATTTTAGACAGGATTACCAGAAGCCGTCTGACGTGAACTAACATACAGTAAATTATGATGAAGTAACTGTGTGTGTCCTAAAGACCTGTTCAGCGTCTCTCTCTCTCTCTCTCTCTCTCTCTCTCTCAACATCCTCCCCCGCCCTCGGGATGCCAGGGACCCGTCACACCTCAAGTTCTTTCTCCCCAATTCCTTGACCTGTAACTTGACCTCCAGGTGAAGAATGATGAGACAGTAGTAGGTGTCGAGGAACTGCTTCACTGTGATATAATTTATGAGGGCAAGACATTGAGCTGTGGGAACCGTGTCTGTCTCTCTGTCTGTCTCTCTGTCTGTCTGTTGTTCCTGTCATTATTCATTTATTTGAACCAGTTGTCGAATCTTGTTGAAATTTGTAAAAGAAACTCGTCCACTTACCCACACTCATTCACCCACCTCCTCACATTCATACCCCACCCTCCACCTCACGCCCACCCTTACACTCACCCTTACACACTCACCCTCACGCCCACCTACCACACCCCGCCCACCCACCACCCACCCACACCCTCACACCCACCCTCACGCCCACCCTCACGCCCACCCTCACGCCCACCTACCCACACCCCCGCCCACCCACCTACCCACACCCACGCCCACCCTCACCCCTCAGTAATCTACAGGAATACACTGACAAGGAACGACTTGAGTGTAGGGCAGCTGTTCTCCCAGGCCGCCGTAGATGCAGCTGTCAGTGGTGTAGGTTAGGTTGGGTTAGGTTAGGTTAGGTTGGGTTAGGTTAGGTTGGGTTAGGTTAGATTACGTTAGGTTTGGTTAGGCCTGCGTTGTGTTGCCCTCTCAGTCTCTGGCTGTGGGCTGTAATGCTGAGGGTATGTATGTACTTGAGTGCTTGTTGTGGTGGTTGGTGCGTGTGTGTGTGTGTGTGCTTAGTGGTTGTTGTGGTGGTTGAGTGTGTGTGTGTGTGTGTGTGCTTGAGTGCTTGTTGTGGTGGTTGGTGTGTGTGTGTGTGTGTAGCTTGAGTGCTTGTTGTGGTGGTTGGTGTGTGTGTGTGTGTGTGTGTGTGTGTGTGTGTGTGTGTGTGTGTGTGTGTGTGTGTGTGTACAGTGCTTGTTCTTGTGGTCTTTATGAGTGTGTGGAGTTACTGAAGTGTTTGTTATTATGGTTGAGTGTGTGAATGTACTTGAGTGGCTATTTCTTGTACTTGAGTATATGAACGTACTCAACTACTTATTCTTGTACTTGGTGTAAATGGACTCAATGTAATCCTTATGTTTTGATCTTAACACTCGATTGAGAGTCAATGCACTCATCTCGTAAGTGTGTTAGTGGAACTTGAGAGGTCATTAATATCTGTTTATCTTTGAGGTTAATTGATAATATTTTTTGTAATTAATGAAAATAGAATTAAATAGATTAGGAAGAAAGAAGAATAGGAAGAGGAGGAGGAGATATGATGATGAGGAGGAGGAAGGAAGAAACACACTCACACTCACCTCCCTCACACACACACACTCCTCCACCACACACACTCACCACACTCACACACACACACACACACACACACACACTCACACACACACACACACACACACACACACACACTCACACACACACACACACACACACACTCACACACACACTCCCCACACACACACACACACACACACACACACACACACACACACACACACACACACACACACACACACACACACACACACACACACACACACACACACACACACACACACACACACACACACACACTTATCTGCCCTAAATCTGGTGACATATTTAATCTAAATCCCGGTGATAATCGGCCATGTTCCAAGATGTCATGAGATTCATTTACTGAGTCATCTATCAGTGGCTTCTCTCCCCACCCCCTTCCTCCCCCCTCCTTCCTCTCCTTCCCCTCCCTTTCTCTTGCTACCAACACCTTCCACCTACATCTCCCCCCCCTCTCGTCCTTCTTTCTCTCCACCTTCCTTCCCCCTCTCCTCCTCCCCCCTCCCTTCCCTCCTCCCCTCCTTCCTTCCCTCCCTTCCCCTTGCTACCACCTCCTACCTCAATAGGACTAATTAAAGACCTAATTCATTCCTGGACCTAAAACCAGGATTAGAGCCAAAAAATTTTAGTGTTAAATTTACGTGTTTGGTTAGGTTAGATTAGGGTAGGTTAGGTTAGATTAGGGTAGGTTAGGTTAGATTAGGGTACGTTAGGTTAGATTAGGTTTGGTTAGATTAGGGTACGTTAGGTTAGATTAGGTTAGGTTAGATTAGGGTAGGTTACGTTAGGTTAAGAATAGTTCGTGCAGGTTTATGTTAGGTTAGGTTAGGTTCCTCATCTACCAATCAGTTTTCCTCACTAAATAGCCTCACCTGGTTGACGTGCCACCTGTGTGAGGATAAAATACACCTGGACGGACTTTTCTAATTGATTTTCCACCTGTCACACTTTTCTCTCTACGGTTTAATTGACCTTCTGCCACTTTTCCGGTTGGATAGATAACCTGTCTTGGTCGTGTGGTACTAGACTGGACAGGTACTAGATTGGACAGGTACTAGATTGGACAGGTACTAGACGGGACGGGTACTAGATTGGACAGGTACTAGATTGGACAGGTACTAGACGGGACGGGTACTAGACGGGACGGGTACTAGATTGGGCAGGTACTAGATTGGACAGGTACTAGATTGGACAGGTACTAGATTTTGGGCACAGATTGGACAGGTACTGGATGGACAGGTACTAGACAGGACGGGTACTAGATTGGACAGGTACTAGATTGGACAGGTACTAGCGGACGGGTACTAGACTGGGACAGTACTAGATTGGGCAGGTACTAGATTGGACAGGTACTAGATTGGACAGGGCCTAGACTGGACGGGTACTAGATGGACAGGCACTAGATTGGACAGGTACTAGACAGGTACAGGTACTAGACAGGGACAGGTACTAAGATGGGCGGGTACTAGATTGGACAGGTACTAGATTGAACGGGTACTAGATTGGACAGGTACTAGACGGGACGGGTACTAGATTGGACAGGTACTTGACAGGTACTAGACGGGACGGGTACTAGATTGGACAGGTACTGGGTGGATAGGATGCTAGGACCTTACTAGACAGGACAGGTACTAGATTGGGCAGGTACTAGATTGGACAGGGTACTAGACGGGACAGGTACTAGATTGGACAGGTACTGAACTGGTACAGGTACTAGATTGGACAGGTATATAGGTTAACGTTTTAAGAGGTGAGAACGTTTCCGGGGTCAGACTTTGGGGAGCTTCAAACGTTCTGGAAGCTTCAAAAGTTCTGGGAGCTTCAAACGTTCTGACTTCAAAAGTTCTGGGAGCTTCAAACGTTCTGAGTCCATTAAATAGATGTCTTACTAATAGCAATCAAAACAGTATGTAGGTCATAATGCTTAGTCACGGTGAGTCATAATGTTGAGTCACGGTGAGTCATTATGATGAGTCACTGTGAGTCATTATGATGAGTCACTGTGAGTCATAATGGTGAGTCTGTGAGTCATTATGATGAGTCACTGTGAGTCATTATGATGAGCAGTGAGTCATTATGATGAGTCACTGTGAGTCATAATGGTGAGTCACGGTGAGTCACAAACACGTACACACGATAACGTCTTTCTGGCTGACTTGAGTTTAAATTGATGTTTGTGTGATATTTAAATGAGGTTACTTGT